ACCATCCTTTAGCATTGTACAAACTTTGACAAACAAACAAACATACTCTTACTGAGATAATGAAATTATTTATTTGGACAAGGTGCCCTACTTCAGCTCACATACATAGCTATTTTCCTTCAGTGCTGCCCTCTGTTTGCAAAATTTTTTGCATGCCACTAGTCTTTCACTCTCTCATACCCTACCCCTCGGTTCACATGGTCTAACTGATTAACTCTCTCAACATGGGCTCAGTCAGTTTAATCAACAACATGATCTCTGTACTCGTTTAAAGTCTTTATAGATTTAATACTTCTAACTTTCAATATAGTGTGTGCATATCTTCACAAACTTTGGTAGTCTTTCAGTTAATATTATAAGTCGTTCACATACAAAACATCATAGTTTTTAGTGAAGAATGTTTAATAAAATAAAATAAAGATTTGTCCATGAATATATTGAGTATTTATTTTGAATAGTCTGTGTGCAAAGTAATTTTCAGGTTAAAATTAAGAATACTTTTCCCTCATCTTAAAAAATCTCAAATTTCCTTTGTATAATCCCTAAAACTTTCTAAATGCATTTCAAACATTTTATTTTAGTAAAATTTTAAAGTTTATCTTTTATTTTCTCTACCCTATCTCAAAACAAAATTGGTTAATTCAACCGACCTTGTAACCACCCCCCCAAAAAAATCTAAATAAATCTAAATTATCATTTATTTATTTCTAGAATGACTTTTTATTGTTTTATTGCCCTTTGAACCATGACTAACTACTATTTGCTCCATTATTAGTTGTAAATTATTCGGGGAACATGAAGCTCATGTTACACTAACGAATTACATTATCCACAAACTACTACGAGCTGCTCGCGTGTGTGCCATGTGAAACATTTTTCTTATAATATTATTATTCATTTTACCTAATCTAATCTTAACTAACCCAAAAGGATCCCTATTTTTACATTTTAGTAACTTTTTCTTTTTTCTTGCTGTCAATTGTCAAAGAGAGTTAACCCTAATTTGTTTATACTAATGATGGTAATACGCTTAATAATTTTTACTTAATTAAATAATGCACCCAATAATATAGACTAATAACCTGCAAAAAGTAGACAAATTCCCTTACCTCTCAAACTTTTTCTGGTTTTCTAACTATGCGACGAGTTGTTACAAATTCCTCCAAGCTAGTCGTTAACATTCTCACAGGAACAATGTTGTTATTCTGAGTGAACTTGACATTTAACTGTTCATAACATAATGTTTTACAATACATCATTTGATAGACGAAAACCTTGAATTTCTATTGGTTACAGGTAATATATATATAATCAAACGTAAGAGAGTACTGTTAACGAATTCTGAAAGAGTAGATGTGAGGTAGGTGTGGCAGGAAGGGTCTGATTTTCTAATCGATAGCTCTGTAACCAAACAAAAATGGAAGACTAAAAATTATGGTTTGTCTGAGCAGTGATGATTTTATAGAGTAATTTACGTTTAATTTCATACTTTTTTGAGGGGTGGTGGATAAGATAGGGAAGATGACATGCTTAAAGTAAATGTGTCACATGAGTCACACTAGGGGAAATAAAGGATTTTTTGAAATATTGCCTTGTAGAATTAAAAACTTAAAACTTATATACTATTAAAATGTGGATTATTGGCTAAGATTTTATGCTATTCTAATTGGTATAACAACAAAAAGTAGTTTTATAAAATTTTTAATGTAAAACATTAAACCCTTGTGTCATGTGCAGTAAAGGATACCTGTTGCAATAGGGTTAAACGCATGCAAATTGTCATGCGACAAACCTCCACAAATAGATGCGCCCCACACACTTGACTCCCTCTATACTATTCTACCTAACTATCACATCTCATTTGGCAGTGCTTATGTTCTGTAATTTTATTTAGTGCTCTCTTCAAATTTTGAATTTTGGTATTGTTTATTTTCCAGTTTCATAAATATTTTAAACAGTTGTTATTTATACCTCATTTTGTTGTGGTATTACTTAATTTTCTACCCAGTTACGGAACTTAATCATTTTTCTGTCCTTTTTTTACCAACACAGTTGTGTTTGGTTTTAATTTACATTATGAATTCTGAAGTGCAAGTTACCACATCAGAAGTTGTACCTCCCACCAACACATTTACTCAACTTTGGAATTATCAGCAATTACTCGTCGAGCGATTGATCATTATTTAAGCCAACATTGTTCTACTGATGTTCCTTAATTTACACGTGAACAAGCTGAACCTCTTTGGGATGATGAAGTATTTGATAGCCTTTTTTTCTACCTGAATTTGCTGTGTCTTCCCAAGTCCCTACTATGAGTTCCATTAGGCCTACTATGGCTTTTTTGGACATGATTTCCCAGGTATGTTCTGTTTTATCCTTTTCCCCAAGTTTCTATTAGTGCGTTAGCAACATAAATTTTGCGAAATATGTTGAAATATTGAAGGAAGGACTCTTGCCACTTTATTCTTCGGGTTTCGTGGACAAGAACACAATGTTGTTCCAGGAAGATGGAGCACCGTATCACACTGCTAGAAACACCCAAAAGTGGCAGGAAGAAAATGGTATCCAGAAGTTGCCCTGGCCGAGCCAATCTCCTGACATGAACCCCCATCAAAAAAATTATCAGTAAATGCAAAATAGCTCTTTCATGTTCTTTGGCATAAATAACCATTCATATGGAATAAATATCAGTGAAATATCTGTAGACTACAAGAATATCATACAAAAAATTACCTATTAAAATTTGTACAAGTGTATTTAGTTACCTAGATTTTCTTTGTGTTAATAAAAACGTAAACCATTATTTGACAAGTATGTGTGTGTATTCACTTATAACTTGTGACTTACTGGACTGCTTGTCACCAAACCTTGCATGTACCCTTAAGTATCACCAGGGAGTGACATATGAGGGTTGATGTTCAGTTCTGACACTTCCGTGTCTTCCTCCTGCATTGAATGGATACGTCAGCTAATATGTCTACCAAAGACTGGAGTTACAGAATAATTATAATTTATATCTAAATATAAGTTAAATTTAGATATATTGCTTGGTTTTGTGCAGTAAAAGTGAAAATATATTTTCTTAAGGAGTATTTAGACAAACCTTTTCTGATTACTTTTGTCAAAAACAATTTGCAATTTAATGAGAATATCATCAATATTCAAGAAAATAACCCATAACCTTATGACTGCTAAATGCCTGTTTCTTTTAGTCTCTAAGTCTCAAGTTTAAAAATAAGTTGATTAAGCAAAAAGATGACTAAGCCAAGCAATAAAAAGGCTCAAAAATTGAGGAAACTAATGATTTGTTACATCTAACAAAAATAACTTGTCATCTATTTCATGTGATTGTGAAAACAAAAATACGATGACCAAGATGTGCAAATAATACAACTGTGTGTAATTCTGATATCAATCAATGGTGTAAAGCCATAGTAAAAGCAGTTAGCTATTATAGTGGAACTAGCTTATATGAAATGTGATGAACAGAACAAATTTGCTAAGCTTAAGATGGATGACAATCTCAAACTCCTGTGTTCCTCAAATTTCTAAAAACATGATTAAAACACAGTGGGAGTCAATAACTTATTAAGCCTACTTTAATTTAATATTATCTAATGGCAACTCCACAGCTTGAAGTGCAGTCCCACCAAAATTTGAATAAGAAAAAAAAATCAGAGACATTTACATTCTAACACATACACAAAACTTGAACTATGCTATGCAATAATGGGCTAAAATGTATCAAATGATACCACTGTGTGTCTATTAATACAATGTGTGTTGAGGAATCATCCCCAAACACACCAAGAGGTATTATGTGGATCTCCTTCCTTTCAAAAGTTCTGGGTTTCCACATTCATGACCTTTAAAGTGTCATACTTAATAAGTCATGAAATAAAATTTTCTATTTGACTGAGAAGTACAAAAACAACAATATATGAGGAACTATGTATTTTGTACATTTATTAGAGTATTGGTTCCTTGGATATGTCAAACAAAAGAACAGACATTGTTCTTTATTGTAAACTTATTAAATATTTTGGAATAAAACTGTGGCTTTTTATTCAGTGATTACCTTCATGTGATCTTGTTCATTTAAATAATAAATATACAGTTGTTCAAATCTCTCAAATTCATCCCAGTGATGTGTGTGTTTGATTTCATCAGTCAAAAATGGCATCACTGTTGTCTTTTAGCTCTTTTGTAAATGCTACTAAAATTACTGTGAAATTGGGTGAATATGTAGCAACTGAATTTAAAATATAACCCACCTAAACACGATGCTTTTAGGTGTTTAATGTATAATCAGGGAACATGTTTAGAACTGAAGCATGGAATGTGAGATCTATAGCAAAAATCAATGAAAGTACTTGATAAATCATATTAAATTGTGTTTATCATCAAAATCTGTTTAAGTTTTTTTTTTTTTATGTGCTATGGTTAGAGAGCATCTTTTAAAAACTGTGAAAACAAAATATATCAATTATTTTTCCTGGAGTTGTTACATATTATATCTGATTTATCTGTTCAGAATTTCTGCAAAGCTACACAAGATCTTTCTATGCATAGCATCTCAAATTTTGAACTGACAGACTAGAGGGAAAACAACTAGTCAAAGGTTGTCTAGTTGAATAGTGGAACTTGCCCATCACTTTTATAGCATACACGTGGCTTCAAACTGGAGTGCATTTTGCACTAGTGGGTAGTGAACTATGAAATCTCAGATTCAATCTACAAATACCTTAACCACCAGGCCACACACCAGCCCACTGTTAGACTATTTTTTGTATGTATTATATTATTAAAAAAATACTGGAGAATTATATTATAAATTAATATATGAACACTACAATTTGAATATTTATAAACAAAATGATTCTGAATTATTGTGCATGTATGCTGTAATATATACTTCAAATACATTATAATGCAACAGCTATGTTACATCCACCTAATCCAAAACCCCTATAATAAGCTTAAAAGAATTCACCAAAATATCAAGCCAAATCATTATTTAATGATCATCACAAATGGCTTTACACAAACAATATTTCTGAAACATGTACTCTAATTTGGAATTTAATGTTTCATTTATCTGCTGATATCTAAAGAACTTAAATGTGGCCTTGATAAGAGGAAAAAATCCTTTAGCAATATTGAGTGATCTCTTAAGAGTCTGGAATTCCCTGGCTCCATAACTTAGACCATTACAAAAAACACTTTGACTGCTGATTAAGGGAAAATACCACATATTTAGTACAAAATTCATAATTTGCTAATCATTCAGAGTTACACATGCTTAATAATATGAATAGCTTTCAAAACAAACAAAACTGACATAAAGGCACAGACAAATCATTGATGCTAGGTTTGTTCTGTAAGATCTCTGAAACAAAAAATTGCAATACAGGACATTTTTGTTGAATAAAGGCACATCCTATTTAATCCAAACATAATTCTAATGACAGATAACTCATGAGAAACGACAGACTAGAGATCACTCTCTCCATAGAGGGCAGTAGAAAAGGACATGTAATCCAGAGCTCCAGGTTCTGCCCCTGTCCCAGTGTAAGGAATCATCCGTTGAATACAGTACTCAGCCTGGTCTGGAGGAAGCTCCCTACGAAGTTCATCTGCTAAAATATAAGGCTATACAAAAAAAAAAAAGTATAAGAAATGCGATCATTTTCTTACAGTAAAAAAATATATCAGTATCCATATATTTTTCAGATAAAAAAAACTAAAATATTTGACATTATTAAAAGTCTTGCATGCTGATAGCACACTTATGTAGCTTTGTGATGTTTATATATACTTATAACTGAATAACAGGATTACAACATAGCAAATTGGAAAATGAAAAGCAGTATCAAAACATAAATTAAAATGAATGTTATGTATTTTTAGTTTATGTCAACATTAGTTCCTTAAACTGAACTATTTAAAAAGGAAAAAAAATGCAGTAATACTTTAAATATAAATTTCCTTTTAAAGGACTTTATAGACACTGTAATAGATGTCATTACCTCTACAACACTGAAATCCCACTAGAGCAATTATAACATAGTCAATCAAAGTGACAAGGACAAGTGGTACTACAGAAGTAAAAATATTTCTAAACTTGTTCAAACACACTAATACATAAGCTATATAGGTTTGAAATTTTTTTTTAAGTTTCAATTTTTAACAGACTCTAGAACTAACAGGAAAACATCATTTGGCTCCAGAAAAATTGTTATGTACATCTTCCTTGGGGTTTACTAACTGATGCCTGAATATGTTCTGTTTCATTAGAACAGAATCGGATCATTGAAACATAATTTTGAAAAGCTCTGAGGTTTTGAAACTGAGTTATTTACTACAGTTATAAATTTTTCTTTAAAATAATATTTCATGTTGCATATGACTTTGATTTCATTAAACTACAGATGTGTGCCAACCTTATCAATATTATCATTGAATCAGATAGAAAATATAATTTTAAATAAAACAGTAATTTTAAGTGATGTCATTGACCAAATCCACATGTAGCTTGGTTAGAAAATAAAGGGTTAAACAATTAAAACAACTTACTGTAAACTAACAAAAACACAGGTAAGTTTTTCTAGACTTATTTTCATCAAGATATAAAAATACACTGAGAAAAAGTAATAAAAAAATAGGAATTTTTATTAATAAATCTGTAATTCCAATAAAAAATGTCAATGTGGTCTTCAAAAGCTGATTGATAGCAGTATGCCAATTCTAAAGGTTATAAAAAAAACTCATTATTTTATCACAAACCTTGTCTCCTGCCAAAATACGGAAAGAATCAATTATCTGTTCTGCTGTATCTCTGTCAGTATTTTCTCTAGTCATAAAGTCAAGGAAGGCATCAAAATTCACGTAACCTGTGTTGTTTGGGTCCACACTATTAAGGATTCTTTTGAATTCAGCATCGCTCTTGAAATGTTAAAAAAATATAATAAATAAATTATGAAATGATGATTTGAAATACATTAGCAATATCAAACAAAGTAATATATATATAAATCACTAGCATTTTAAAAACAAAATTGTACCTAAATGTGTTAAAACTTTTTTCAGATTCATGTGAATACGTTTTCTATTTTCTGGTATTTCTCCTTCTTAAAATATTTTTAGTGTTTTATTACACCATTTGTAATACAAGTTTTTGCCTTTATTAGAGTGAGACAGTGCTCATACTATTAAAAAACAATTTCTTACTTGTTTGTCATTTCTTATGTTGAAACCTAAACTGACAAGACAAGATTTGAATTCCTCTGGTTGGAGGCGACCTGATCGATCCTTATCAAAATGGTTAAAGGAACTTCTGCATTCATTCAACTGCTCCTGGGTAATTCCTTTTGAGTCTCGAGTAAGGATCTATTGAAAATTTTCAATCATAATTTGTCGCTTATGTTTAAAACTATCAATTTTTATCAAAAGTTATGTTCTAAAATAGTGATAGTATTCAGTCTATGTTGAGTTGATATAGACTTTACCTGCCTGTTTATTTCTAAAACAAGATGCTGAAGCTGAAGCCGCTCTAGGAATAAAACAAGCATTCACAGTAAATTTCAACAAATGATATTTCAATTATTTCAGATAAAAAAAACAAGAATACCTACATTTACAGCAGCTGACTTAATAACATTTTCCAAAGAAAAACCGGAATTTTGCTTAGTTATATATTTTACCATAAGAACTTTCAAACTTTACTTTAAAAATTCAGATTTATAATTCAAAAGTTATAATTTTCCTACACTGAAAATATATTTCCAACAGGGACTTACTTCTGCTCATATACATAGCTATTCTTGTTCAGTGCTGCCCTCTTATTTGCTAAATATTTTTGGCATGTCACAAGCCTTCCACTCCCATGTACCCCTCAGTTCTCGTGGTTTAACTGATTCACACATGAAAATTGTCGTGCGACAAACCTCCACTAATAGTTCGCCTTACATACACATGACTCCCTCTATACTATTCTAACTATCACTTTGAGTTTAGGCAGAAACCTAAGCACTGGTGGACAGTGGGAAGGAAGGGTGGGAAATGTGAGTGGAAGGAAGTAACTTTTGGAAATATATATTCAGTGTAGGAAAATTATACCTTCCAACAAGGTACCTTACTTTCGCTCCCATACATAGCTAGAATCCCACATTGAATAGGTGGAAAGACCAGTGCAAGATAGAAAGTAGAAGCATCCTTTGAAAACATCTGAAGGACACCCTTATGAAGGAACCATCTAATAAAAGGATGATACGTGGGATACCTCACCACTTCTGTACCTGGTATACACTTTGCCCAGATGTGGAAAAGGTGAGACAGATCCAGGCAGACAGATCTAAGGAGCACATCCCAATGGGAGATAAAACTGTTGGACAGTGATGCTAACCACAATATATGATAATTTCAATTTCCATGATGAATAAACTGTGGGTAAAAGAAAAAGACGTGCCCTAAGGTATAAAGTGGCTAGGGCATGATGGACTGTACAAGACAAGTCAACTGTATCCAAAACTTGACATCCATGCAGGGGTAGAAAAGAGGATAATACCATCTTCACTTCAAGGAGAAATTCCAATCACTAATTGAGGAACTGAGCACATGTGATCAGAGTGAAATACATAGATATCCCACTTAAACCAAACATACTGGACCACCTCAAGTGCAGTAACATCCTTGGCATAAAGACATTGAGGAGTAGTGCAAGAGAAGAAGCGGAGAAACCAACATGTGCACCCACTGTGACCCACAACAAGTCAGAGCACCTAAGGGGAAATGAGGCACTCCCTGAACACGTGTGAGGACTCATGGTGATTGGTTCAGCTCTAAATTCAAAACTCAGTCACTGGGAACTGACATCCATGCAGGGGTAGGACAAGAGATCCCAATAATCTCAACATGAATGTGGCAATAGGGTGATTGGTTCAACTTTAAATCCAAAATTGAATCACCAGGAACCAACACCTATGCAGGGGAAGGATGAGGGATCCCAATCATTATGGCATCTCACTTCAAAGGTACAACATCTCCTCTGGGAAGTCCATGCAGAGATAAAGCTTCTTTTTGAAGGATTTCCATCAACTACTCCAGCAGAATACTACCGCCCTACTCTCAACTGAATGGATTTATCTCTGTTTAAGTTGTATATCTTTCATTCAGGAGGATACTTCCATGGTCCAGCACCCCAGTGGCTTGGAACTGGAAAGTGGTAAGGACTCTCTTCCTCTACTGAAAGAAACAGGGTGAGAAAATGCTGCAGAGAGCCTGGAGAAATGTACACAACAGAGACAGTGCAATGGGTGACCATGAAACTCTATTTTGAAAAGCAGACCAAACCCATTTATTCAATCTAATTAATGGCAGGGATGGGCAGCAATCTCCTCCAGCTTTACCCATGATGTCCATGATTCAGCATGATCTGGAACAGACATATTTATGAAGCAAATATATTGGGAGGAATAACCTGTGAGTGATCTTGCAGAACAACCCATCTCTAGTATATGTAATAGTAAAGAACAGTGTGCATTTATTGGCCATGGAAATTATGAGTGTGAAGTCAAAATGGCCTTACAGTGTAGATTTGAGTACAAATCTAAGTAATTGAAGTATACCTGGACAGACACCACTTGAGTGGGATCCAGATTCAAACATGGAATGATGCAGATGAGACACCAGGTAAAAAGTGAGGTGCCTAAATTAAAAATCACATCCATTTGGTAAGGGTGAAAGAAGAGAGATCATGAACAGAGGATAGTTGCATAGGGATGAATAGATGGGGACAATTATGACAGAAGGAACCATGTGGGTGATATAACAATGAAGAGCACAAACTGGACATAGAAGTCTATCTGGATCAGACCTGGAAAAAAAGATGAGAAATCGGCAAGGAGAAGGATTTACCCTTCTAAGCCGCTGAAGTATTGGGAAATAAAGATTGATTTGGGGAAAGGAGAAGATAAGAGGAATAGTACAAAGTATGTGAAACATCGATGGCAAACAAATCTAATTGACAATGTCCACAGGCTAAAAGGAGGAGAAAATATGTCTTAAGGGATAAATGAAACATGAAACAAGGAGACAAGGGTTCACACATAGGAAATAACCCATGAACGTGGAGACCGAACATCCCTGATCAAATAACCAAGTGAAGAAATCTGTAACAAGAGGAACAGTGGGATGAGCAGGGGAGAACCCACAACCCAAAGACCAATAGTGAAAAATATGTTGATACACCTCCATGGAAGAAGGTCAAACTGAATGTGCCAACAACGAAGCTTCTCGCTGTGATAAACTGGATCTCCTCACCAAGAACTGTATAAAAACCAGGCATGAAGACTATGGGTAGGAATAGCGGGATAAACTATGTGGGACCGAGGCTGCCATAGAAGAGGTCCATGCTGGGAAGAGGCAAAGGTGGAGCAGATTGGATCTGGAGCAGCCGTAGAAACCATAGTTGGGCTGGCCAGTAAGGGGCAATCAGAAGGACTTAACACGGAGTGTAGTGAATGATAGAAATCACCATGGGAAGGAGTTGGATAGGAGGATACACATAAAGGTATTTGTCTGTCCAATCCTGATTGAATGCATCAACAACCAGAGCAAGTGGATGAGACACTGGAGACCAAAACTAAGGTAACTTGGTATTGAGGATAGTGGCAAATGCATCCAGATGTGCAGTACCCACCTGAATGCATAAATACTGGAAACCTGAGGATCTAGAAACCACTCTGTCCGATAATTTTGGCTGGGTGGGAAGAACGCAAAGTTGATAAACAACCCCATGGTGAACAAAGTGAAGACAGCATCTTGACTGCTGCGATATGGGAATATGGAGAGAAGCATTTGAGACATCAACAGGTTCAATGCCATTCTGAGAGAGATCTTGGACTGCCTCTGATGTATGCTGACATGTGGTAGGATCCTGAGGCAAAGGAAAGGAAACAGGTAACTGAGACAAAGGATGAGAAGAGAGAATATGTATGACAAGTCCCTCGGTTAAAACCTGAAATACCCAAAGATCGCTAGTGAAGTCTCACCATAGATGAACAAACTGGGATAAATGAGCCCCTACCCACAGGGTTGTCACTGATACTGTTGGCAGTGCAACACTCGGCATTGAATAAAATGATGAGAAGATTTCCTATTGGAAGGATGGGGAACAAAAATAGGGGATAGTCAAATAATCAACCAAGGAGGAAAGAGTCGATTGCTGCCACGCAGATTCCAAAATTGCTGGAAAAATTTCCACACACCGACTGATGGAGAAAAGGGGCCAAGCATAAGTCCCTAAGATAAGGAGATGGCAAACGAATGTGGGAAAAAAACGTGTTTCTCCCCAAAAGCTCCCGACAACAAGGAACCACGTGTGTAAAGAAAAAGCTGAAGTTGACAAATGTACCTACAAGGATGTAATTAGGGCAAACATATTCCCCAAAAAGCCTTCAGGATCTTGGTGGATCATGTTGGAGTGGAGGTGTATGGTGAATAAGTACCGTAAGACAGGTGTAAGGGTAAGATGAAGGCAAGAAAACTAGGTATTGGACAAAAGAACAGGATAATCAGGGTCTGCCTCCCAAGTGGGTAAAATGGATTCCAGCAAACTGATCCGAAACCCGAAGAGGGCGAGGCATGCCCATGTCATCACGTAACTGAAACACAAAATGCTTGGCATGAACCCCAATATCAGGAGATGGTGGAAACACTAAGAGGAAGGAGTATCATGTAACAAGGAAGGTAGAGGATCCACTAAGCTCGATCTCCACCAACCCAAACAGCTCCCCAAACCATCACGCTGAAACCACCATGCTTCACAGTTGGCTGCAATCTGTTGAACCAAAACTCTTGGTGAGGCATTCTCCAGACCCATATCCTTCCACTGTCCGAAAATTGAGCGAATCTCGATTCGTCTGAGAACAATACGGTCTTCCAAAAGTCCAGAAGCTTGGTCATCATATCACTTGCCCACTTCTTTCGTCTGACTATGTTGGCAGGTCTTAATAAGGGCTTCCGTCTAGCTGCTCTGCAACGATAACCCAATCTGTGGAGAACCCATTGAACAGATTTCGGGCTCATCCTACCAACTTTTGCCACTTCTGCAATTGTTATTCTGGGATCCATTCGATG